GAGTTTCAGTTTCGGTTTCAGTTTTAGTTTCACAGCACCAAGCATCTTTAGTACAGAACGGTTGAGCTAAGCCACGCCCAGGCTCCTTGCTGTCTCCTTGCTCACACAGCAAATACTCTTTCAGTTTCCAAACAGCCCTCCACTCTCTCACACACTTGACAGGACGCTAGCCAGATGAATAGCGGTGGATGCTGGTGGGCGGAGGCAGAATTTTATTCCCCTTATTTTCCTCCCCCAAAACTAAGCCCGACCAACACCGTTTCGAGCCAGTTGAATTATACAGCGTCAACACAGTGACGTGCGACATACCGGTCGTAATATTGACTTTGTCTCTTTTATACCCTATCTTCTTTATTTTGGTTTCCCTGTTTCCATTATCGTGGGGTGCTCCTGGTCCGGCGTTGAAAGTCAGGCCAAGCCTCCACCCCCACAGAAGGGCCCCCCCCCCCCCCGAGCACGCTCCGTCGTCGCACACCCCTGGCAAGCCATGCCAGAGGTTAAACTATCGGTCGATTTTCCCAGTTGGAGCTAAAACAGGGATCCTTTTTGTGTCTCCGGGGAAAGTCTTGAGAGCCAAACCACCGAGTGTCCTTGAAGAGAACAAGGAAGACATTATGCAAAGTTGCTTCCCTCTCCCTCCACCCCGATTTTAAAGCCATTTACGATTCCCAATACGACACGTCGTTTTAGCACGGTTTGTAATTTTTTTTTTAGCTAGAAGTCTCCTTTTAAACCCGCTTTCTTTTCATCTTGCTTTTCATCTTGTTGGACGGCCAACAACGATGAGGACGAGTAGCCTGCAGGGTGTGTTGCTCGCAGTTGACAGCCCTGGTGGTCTGACTTAGCGGAGGATTTGGTGTGTTGGGTCCGTGGTGTCGAGCTGGATTGTTTCCTTGCAGGTGCTTGATTGCTAAACTAGAGACTGTGATCGATGCTAAAACACAGTCCCCTCCTAGCACGGATGATGTTACTTAGTTGGGTGATGAAATGTCTACAAGAAAACTCTCTTTAAGAAAGTTTAAAGAGTATAAAGGACCCCACAGTTCCCTCCTCTTCTTCCTCCTTCCCTCCCTCCCTCCCTTCCTTCCTTCCTTCCTTCCCTGATGATGTTACCTAGTTGGGTGATGAAATGTCTATAAGAAAACTCTCTTTAGAAAAGCTTAAAGAGTACAAAGGACCCCACAGTTGGCCGCCTCCTCCTCCTCCTCCTCCTAAACCTCCTTCTCTTCTAGCACTGATGATGTTCCCTAGTTGGGTCATGAAATGCAAGAAAACAGTGAAGCTCAGAGAACACCAAGGACCCCACAGTTCTC